CGCCTGCTTCCTCGCAAGCATTCAATAACTGTTAGGAAAGAAAACCCTACCTCGAGATGTTAGTTTTCATGCCTTGCTTTTCTGCACTGCCTTATATGGAATCTTAGTCAATCCGGGGTACCCACATCGGGTAGAGGTGAATTCGGGCCATCGGAGCGGGAAGGCAAAGAGAAAAACCATCCAGGGCCCGTCTTTGACTTCCAAGCCAGGCCCCCATGAAAGTTTTGAAAGGCAAAGCAAGAGCCAGGTTCGATTATAAAGCAAGAGGGGGGAACCCGAAGGCAGCCAGAAATGCCAGGCATGGGACTCACCCTTTACCCTTGAATAGGAAGAGGTTAGATGAAGAGCCGGACCCCTTATGGCCCCCATCCCGGGCTGAGTTAGGTGAAAGGGGGGGACAAGGTGGGGTTGCCAAAGACCGAAGGAAGAAGCTGGAGCTGAGGGGCAGGAACTGCAGTCCCTCCCTGGTAACCACCCATGCTGAGGGGATGCCTGGTGTAGGTCTTCCGGTGACACCTTAGTGCCCTGCGACTTGGACAAGCTCCCACCGAACTCCCACACAGACCCCCTCATTGCAGTCCAAAAGAACAGCCCCAACCTACCTGACAAAAACAGGAGGGCTGGCCACCAGGGGGTGGATTGGCTGCAGGAGTCGTAGAGCAGGCTTTTCTTTTTGGTGGCCCAGCATCTGAGTCCCCATCCAAGTCTGGGGAGTCCCCATATGCCAAGGTAGACCCTCCCCCAGCGACACCAGAAGCCTCCGAGCCAACAGTATGACTGATCAAACTACGGGCCTCAGTTCCCCCTCGGTCTCTGTGTCCTGCCCTTTGCAACACTACTTCATAGGTCGTCCTTCTTAAGCCGGAGGCTGTTTCCCCAGTGCTGATTTTGGACTTAGCCATGTCAGTTGCTTTGGCCAGACAACGATTTCCAAATCTGGACCTTAGAAGGCTCCCACGATTCCACTTGTCCTCTGGTACCACTGGAGAACCCATGTTGGCTAGCTGCTGGTCCGGGGATGTGAGACAGGGGGATCTGTGCCTCCTGGATATTCCACAGCCTCGTACCCAGAAGCAGAGCATGCCCAGCCAGCGGCAGCCTAGAACAAGCACCCTTCAGCCGAGTCATAGACCACACGAAAAGTAAACATTCATTTCCGCATGCCATTGAGGCTTGGGGTTGTTTGTTACCCAGCAGTAGCAGCTAATACGCCGACGTACTCTTTTCTCAGGCAGCTAGGGCATACTGACACAGGACGTGGGCTAGGCCAACAGGACGTCTGCGTTCTGGAACAAGTGATACAAAGAAATACCATTGAGCATCTGGTTTTCAGGGGCAGCTACGGCTGAGTGCCAAGGGCAGATGGCAGTACCAGCTGAGGCATCTGGATTCTGTGCTGAAGGCAGAAGTGTCCTCACCAGCCAGTTCCCTGGCATGATTTCAGGTGATCACTCTGGCTGCCACCCCCCTTGATCTCTGCATTTTCTGAGCCTGGTTTTGCGGCCCTCCTGCCACTTCCGTGAACAACCGAATGGTCTTCCAATACACGCTTTTGCTATTTAAATTAGCCAGAGGCAGTTTCTGTTGCTGGCAAATAGAAACCCTGGCTTACATAAGATGGGGAACTCCCAGCATGTTACATTTATAATATAATTTTGAAACTGTTTGGGTTACAACTATCAGAATTACCTGAGCACTAGTATCTTAAGCGACACAAACATCGTGATTTCTCATAAAAAGGAGTCCGGAGGTCAGAAGTTCCAGGGTGGGACAGGTGGCCCTGTGATTTCAGGGCTTTGGGAGGTGGCATCTCTGCACCTCGCTTAACGTGCTCCTCGTGGCCACAAGATGGCTGCAGAAGCTCCTGGCATCATGTCCTCACAGGAAGCAGTAAGGGAGGAAAGGGGGCAATAAGGCCTCTCCCTTGTCCAGAAACCCCCACCCCGACCTCCCCTTAAAGCTGGCTGGCCAGATCTGGGAAATGTGCCCAGATCAAAAACAACCCCGGCAAAAGGCATTGCCAAGAGTGGCTCAGCCAAATCCTAAATTAACCCCCGAGGCTGGGCACGCTGTTGCTGGCACCAAATCAGGGCTCTGTTGGTGAGGCGGGAGAAATGGCTGCCGGAATGGCAATAAACAGGGCCAGCGACAAGACATAAGCTGGGGCCTTGTAGGCAGGAGCACGGCTTCATGGCCCTCTTGCCCTTGGGACCCGCAGGCAGATGGTGCCCGGGGACACTGGAGTGGATGAGGCTCTGCTCCCACCTCCCCATCCCAGGACCTCTCATTTGTGCAGCGAACATTCGGGCTGCGCTTCCAAGGCCAGGTGCCCCTAATAAAACCCGTGCACTGAGGCTCCACCATGAGAAGCAAACTCTCCGGGGCCTGTGAGAACACAGGAGATGGAGCTACGTTCTCGGAGACAAAGCCAGGGGCGGGTTTCCAAGCTGGCCAGGTCCGGGGCAGATTCCCACCTCACAGAGCTCCCTGGAGGCCCCCTTGGCCTCGCTTGCTGCGAGGCCCCAGAAGTCACACTTGGCCTGCCTCTAGCGGGCCTGAATCCCACCATCCCGGGAGACAGCGTTTTCCCACAGCCCGAGCCCAGGTGTGGAGGGAGGCTCCTGCCGGCCGCATCCAGGGCCTTGGTGGGGAAATGGGACATCTGGAAGCAGACGGGCTTTCCCCAGGCTCCGTCCCTACATGCAGTGGCTGGCCATTCATGGCCCAAGCCATCCTGGATGAAAGGTGAAGGGAGGAGATGAGCTGACAGGACCCAGAACCCTTTAGGATACCATGCAGAGAGGCCCGGGCAGGTCCAAGGACAAGTGTGGGTGTATTTGTGTGAGCAAGTGCGTGTGCATGTCACTCAGCATACGAGCAAGGCTACGTGTGAATACCAGTGTGACCATGTCAACGTGCATGTCACAGTGCACGAGTGCAGGTGTGCATGTGAGCTTATATGCATGTGCGTGCATTTGTGCAAGCATGTGTGTGCAAATGCATGTTCCGCCTTTCTCTGAAGGACACAAACGTTCACCAAGTGAAGATTCAAGCCAGTTTCTGCTAAATTAAAAACAGCTTTTTCGTGTTTAAAGTTTACAATACGAAAAATAATTTTCCTTTCTTCCGGGGGGGGGGG